GTTTCTTCATATCTGACAGTACTGGGTATTTCAAAGGGCTACAGCTGCTTAAATTGGCAGTAGGTGAGCAATGGGAAGGTAAGTATTCGAATCTGTTACCTTGTATCAATTGGCAAAATGGCAGGTTTACTTTAAAGTGTATGTAACCCCTAACAATAATTATCTCTTGTTTGATCTGTTAAATATACAAATAAAAGCATGTGTGATATCTATCCTTTAAGTGCAAGAGATACCTGTTAATCCTATTGGAAATCAAGTGAACTTGCAAGTTCTTATGCACTCTGTACTGATATCTCAAGTCTAGTGCAAAGATGTTGCACATACTTATATACAGTACAGTGAGTGTTCTTATCCTAGGACAGGAAGTGTGCTATTGGCAGGATCACCAGAAGAAAATAAAAATGACAAAGCCTAAAACAAAATGCAAACACCACACCTAAGGGCAGGTAAGCTGCGCTATATTATGATTTTTTTTTTCCTAGGTTTAGATACACTTAAGATTTGATGCATGAAAAAAGTGGTATTGCATCATTAACCTGATACATATTGTAAAAAAGAGACAGGTCCTCTTGAAACGTCTTCATTAAGGTTTGTTCATGAGTATGAACATAACCTTCACTTTATCAGGCAAAAGTACAATAGTAATAATTTCATTTTAATAATTGAATGATGTAATTAAATTTTTCCTGCATTGCCTTTGAATCTTAGGAGCCTGAGGCTCAATGTTCCTCTATATGGGCATGCACTGAAAAGTTCATGTCGCAGCAGAAAAAAAGTAGCAGAATGCAGAAGTGGCCAGAATCAAGGGTGTAAAAGGATAGTAGCCTAGGGCTAAACAATCCCCAAAGGCTTGGGTACACCAGCATGTTCTGTATATGCAATAGCAGTTTTGTCACTTAGCATAAAAAAAAATCTTTGCTGAAGGTGGGAAAGTGCTGCAAACCCCCTTTGGACCAAAGATATGCTTTTTTTTTAATTCAAACTGGCTCTTCTGTTTTATCAGTAGAGTAAAATAAATGTGAAACAGCTCTGTTCCTCAGTTTTTGCCCCTGGCTGAGATGTAATATGTTTAAATATCACGCTGTGATATCTACTTCAATGGCCTATAGGTGACAAAAAATAAAACAATTCCCAATTCATCAATATAAGCCATCTTTCACAGCAATAAAAACAAAGGAATTGCTCCGTTGCCACCCACACAAACGGAGATGAAATATTGATCTCTAAATGTTATAATAAAGCTCTTTTATAATACTATAAATATACATTTATACTACTATACTCTACTCATGTAGACCCATCTCTACATGCTATTGTCTATGTCAGCCTTTCTCAACCAGGGTGCTGGGCACCTTGGGGTGCCTTGAGTTTTCTTCAGGGGTGCCTTGGCAAAATGTCTACAAATTGTCCAAAAGTTGTATATAAGCCAGCGGGTGGATCAACAAAGCCACAGGTTTTCATTGTGCACCATTACGACCTTCTAGCCACCGGCATCCTGACAACCAATGACATCATCAGTTGATAAGGAGGCCTGCACAGCATCCTAGTTTGACCCTCCCCTGCCCCTCTCCATCAGTGCTGGGGTCACATTACCTCAGTGATGGAGAAAAACTGAGGGAGAACAGAAACATTGGAATACTAGTCAGTACCAGTGTGCAAAGGTGTACTTGCTTTGGAAGAATAAATCACCTGTAATGTTGGGTGTCCTAATGTTGCTGCATTTTATATAAAACTAATTGAATAGTTTTTCACATTTTAGAATGGGGTGCCTCAAGACTGTCCATAATTTTAAAGGGTGCCTTGACTGAAAAAAGTCTATGTTATGTTTATGGCATGGACACCTAAAACTCATAAGCAATGCTGAAACATTATGCCTATAAACTAAAGTTAAAAATTACACAAATAATGAAAAAAACTGACCCAAAACCATTATAGTTTTCTTTAAAAAAAAGTTGTATTGGCCTGCCTGCAGAACACGATGCCTACATTTCTTGGAGTCTTGGCGTCCTGGATCACAACTTTTCTCCAAAGAGATTTTGATTGCAGGCTACCAGATGAATGAAAACACACTCCGCATTATCATGATTTTAGTGACTTATGTATCCCCCTAGCTGACTCTTCCTCACCCCCCCCCGATTCCCAGTATCCTTCTCCTTCCCTTTTCTTCTCTGTCACACCCACTCTTTTTACTCTTTTCAACTCTCTAGCAGCCCTTTCCTCTCTTCACATATATATATATGAGAATATATATATATATATATATATATATATATATATATATATATATATATATATGTGTGTTTTGATACTAAACCTTACCACTAGCCCATGTGGTCTTGTCTGACTACTTTCTACTACCTCATGCCATACCCACCTCCAATGTGTTCCAGTTCCAGTTCAAGTATTCTATGCATATCCAGGTTTCACTTTATTTATTCTTATGTAAGTGGTCTTCGCAACTTTTGGTACATTTTACTGTGCACCACTTTCCACTATTTTATTGAACAAGGAAATAAAAGTTGTATTGTGCCAAAGAAATGCTTATTCAGTAACTTATCTCAAGAAAAATGGGGGGTAATTGTGTAGATGTCAATGTTGTCTGTGCACCAGGGGCAGACTGACAACTCATGGGGCCCCCGGGCAATAAGGGATCATGGGGCCCCTGTGTCCTTGCCCACACTCAAAGCACACACAAAAAAGTCTATAAAAGGTACCAGGGGCATTTCTTGGGGCCCCCTACTGACCCCGGGCCCTCGGGCAGTGCCCGAGTGCTCGAATGGTCAGTCCGCCCCTGCTGTGCACTCAGAATCTGGTGCAGCTGTGCATGATAGCCAATCGGCTTCTAACCTCAACTTGTTCAATTAAGATTTTACATAGTTAGTTTGGCTGAAAAAAGACAAAAGTCCATCCAGTTCGACCATAGAAAAAAAAAAAGTTATAAACCTATACCCACAGTTGATCCAGAGGAAGGCAAAAAAATCCCCAGCAAAGCATGATCCAATTTGCTCCTGCTGGGAAAAAAATTCCTTTCTGATCCCCCAAGAGGCAATCGGATATTCCCTGGATCAACTTTACCTATAAATGTTACTATCCAGTTATATTCTATGTATCTAAGAAAGAATCCAGGCCTTTTTTGAAGCAATCCACTGAGCTGGCCAGAACCAACTCTTGAGGGAGTCTATTCCACATTTTCCACATTTGGCAATACAACCTGGAAGCTGATTGGTTTCTATGGAAAGTTGCACCAGATTTTGTACTCTCCAGTTTAAACCCCAAAGTGTACGTATGTATTATTTTATAAGGAAAACATATATATTAAATTTTCTCCATATACTGTTCAAAATGTAATCTAATATAAATATTCATAAAAAATGAATGTGTTGTTCAAAACTGATCCCTTCTGTGAATATTTGGAGTTTGCCCTTGTACATCCTCCCTATAATTGAATATAACAGTGATAGTACTGACTCTTCATAGGCAACAGAGGGAGTAAACAATTTTGTTGCCAGCTATTACATCATGCCACCTGGTGCCATAGCAATATAGCGTCATGTTATGTTTCTTATCTTGGAACGCTTTGAGATACAGTTTGTCCTTCAAAATGACATATTGAGTTTTCATCCAAAATGATGCTAATTTAGACTTTCATAACAATCACAAAGTATGAGATGGGAAAATATAGAACCACAGAAGAAAAAAAAAAGTAGTGATTATATTAGATTAAGTTTGTTATACATCTGTTCTGTCATTTTCTCTGTCATGTTCCACATGTCCCCTTGTGATTTGTCTCCAGTCAACTTTCAAAATGAATAGTTTCGAGAAGGTGTTGTTAAAAAAAAGCTTCAATCCCCACATGACATGCATTTTACCTCCAGGCAGGTTTTTTAAAGATCACATCCCACTAGGGACTCAGTTGTCAGCACTCGGATAGGAAGACTGTTTAGGCACTACAGTATCACTTGAAAAAATCTACTCCATCAGGTTGGTTCAGATAAGAAGAGGAATATTGTCGTTGAGCACTGAATATTTCTGTATATGTGCCATTCTATGTTTCTACTGTGTCATGACATCCTTTTATTCTCATGTCAAAGTCTTTAAATGGCATGCACAAGGAAATAAAATGATACTATATATGACATACAACACTCTGCATTCGTAAGCATTTTCAGGAAAATATGATTATTTTGAAATGTCAGTTCTATATACATATGCAGCAATATACACTGTTTGAAAATCTTCTTTTGGTAATGAAAAATAGCAAAGTGTACTTCTGTATGTGTATATTAAGGTTTCCTTTTGCTTACTGTAGGTGCCATCTTTAAGAGCTTATCATACATCTAAATAACTTGTGGACTATTTAGATTGCTTACTAGGGCTAGATGAAGCCATGACCCCATCTGGCTTTGCAGGCTTAGGAATGGTTGCCCCACACCCTATCTTGCAGACCTGTGCAAGTTCCTCCAATATTAACCTCCCTAGCGGTCTGATTATGTCAGTATTTCTGTGCTCAAAGAGGTAAATTTTTTGCATGGAAATATGTATTTTTTTTATTGCAGGCCTGTAATTTTTAGGAATAACTCACTGAAATCTGTCCGAACAAGAGTCTAGTAAACATCCCGGGTATGTTACAATTTGAAACACGAAATCATAAATTATACTTTAATAAATAATCATAAAAAAATAATAAGATAATAATAATAAATTTAATTCAATAATATAATCAAACCAAAAACACTGAAATTTGAAATTCAGTGCAAAGTTCGCACATCACTGAGCAAAGTCGCAAAATCGTTTTCAGTGTCTGATGATGAATTTCCCCACGAATCATTATCACTCAATTCTGCAGGTGGTTCTAATTTACTATCGCTGTTCTCTAGCTGGTCTAAAACCGCTTTTGACCTAAAGGGACGCTTTTTGGACGCCATGGACATTTCTCAGTTTCCAGGCAGAAAGTACAGTAAAAGTGCAGACAGGGCACAGGACAAAGCACTAGGGACAAAATGTATGTGAAATGGTTTAATACAGTAATGTTTTACTATGTGATTTTAGTGTATTTAGTGAATGTCACTTTTTGTCATTTTCAAATTTCCTGCCGTTCCGTCCCCCATATGTCCCGACGCTCACAGGGGACGGAACCCAGATGACAGATGCCGGCATCCGCTGGAGGACATTACAGGGGACACTGCAGGAGGGTATTCGCGGGAGCGCAGGACAAGGTAAGTGATCGAGGGATCCCGGAGCAGCACCGCATGGTATTCCCTAGTGTAGCTCGGGGTTTCCGCTTGTGGTACTGAAACTTTACCCCGAGCTACACTCGGGAATACCGCCAGGGGGTTAAATAGGTTTTCCACTTTCAGCTAGAAAGTAGAAATCCACTGCGTTTGTAGTCATCTTCTCTTTGGGCCTCTTTGAATCTATTAGTTGTTCTCTCAAAATAGCAGCTTGGAGGCATCTGTAATGCATGGTGCTGCTCTGCCCTGCCATTTTTTGGTAATTAGCTCAGAATACCAATGGGATTTTAAATGTTTTTCCAAGCTAAAGCTTTAATCACATGAAAAGGGTTGGATAACTTGAAAGATGTAATAGTCTTGTGTGTTCATCTGACTTGTAGAATTTCTGAGGGAAGATTTCTATGAAGGCCCACTTTGCATCAGGGGCAAACCCAGTAGTGTTGAATTACAAAAGGCAAATAAACTGTTCACTGTGCAAGGAAATTTTCCCCAGAACTTAGTGAATGCGGTGAAGCTTTGTTGACTTCTATCATCCAATCATGTGCAAGCAAACATTTTTTTTTGTTGTAACAATTTGCTTTGATTGGGTATTCTTTGCAAAATGAAACTTCACCACATTCAATAAGCTCTGGGTAAAATGGCCTTGCAAAATGCAACTTTCTTTGAAAAGTGAAGAGTCTATTTGCCTTTAAGAAATAAACCCCAGTGATTTTCAGCTTTTTACAGAAAAGAGGAAAACCTCTTAAACCATATTTCCATAACAATTTCACAATGATTTCCTTATTGCTTATTAGCAGAAGCAAATGATAACGTCAGCCCCGTTTATTACACACAATAAAATGTATTGTAATGAATTTTGTAGTTTATTTTGTGTCAGTTTTAAAACTGAACTATAGGTGGAATTATTAAACGATCCACATTGGTATTGCATTTCCCTGCACAGCAGACTGTAAGAGGTAAGGTTCATTGGAAAACAAATTAGATATGTTGCATGCCAAATTTAATTACCAATGATGAAACTATACTCAACTCTCAGTTGTTAAATGCAGATGTTTTTGAGGAAAGTGCTCAGGGAGTAAAGGACAAAGTGAGCAAAGAGATGATCTTATCAGTCTGCTGCTGCTCTTTTACTGTCTACACAAGGTCGGCAGTACTAAAAGGACTAAGGGGTAGATGTTCTAAAACTGACAGACTCCGAATCTGGTTTATGGGACTTATACCTTCAGCTTGTTCAGTTAAGAATTGGCTATGAAACATGGAAAGCCGATTGCTTTATATGCACAACTGCACCAGATTTCACACTATCCAGCTTTAGTAAATAACCCCCTTAAGTGTGCCATCTGACAGAGACAGAGCTATGGGAATCTCAGGACGGACTAGGTTCTGTTACTATAATAGCACTACAGCTGTTGAATACAGGCCAACTGGACTTTGTCCACATTTTGATAACCTGTAAAAATCTGTGTCTATCACCCCTCTACCAATACCTCTTATATTTAACAGGCAGGGGTCAAGGTATCCCCCAGGCACAAAGGAATTTTGCATTTCTAATGTTTCCCTATAAGCATTGCTAAAATCGCTGTTCCCTGTCAAACTGAGGCTGTTCCCTGCCAAAATATATATATATATATATATATATATATATATATTTATATAATTATTTTTTTTTGCTCTAGTACGCGTTACCCAGGGCAGTCTCCAGACCCCTATGCCATTTAATTGACAATCCATTGCCTATTAGCAACGGAAACATTAATTACTGTTTTTAACATTTGGCTTACATCGAATCCAGTGAGGTTAAAATTTGGCACCCAAACTTTAATTAAGTTCATTGAACCTGATTAATACTGAATCCAGTTTCCTCACTAACCATTGTAAGGACCCTTGTCATTGTTAAATGGTTTGTCTCATTCCTCTAACTGCCACTTTTGATGAATAGTTTGGTTTCTTAAAGGATGTTGAAAAATAACAGACTTGGCCAAAATGGCCATACACTAGCAGATTTTTGAAGAAAATGTTTGTATGAACATTTATATGAAAAGTCTTGACTTGGCATATGTTGTTCCAAAGTAATTCAAAATTGCATTTGCTTTTAATATTTGATTTTGGAATGAATGGACTTTCTCGAGCAAAAAAAAAAAAAACACATCCACTGTTGAAATTTTTTCCTCTGAGAAAAAATTCCATCCTGCTCCTTCTTGTTCAAACTTTTTATTGTTTTCAAAAACATAAAAAGAAGTAGGACAGTCCATGAACATATACAGGCTTAAATGAGTACAGAAAAACATGTTGCCCTACAGGGAAGTAGGATTATTGCATGAAAATCTTGGTACGAGGAACAATATAAAAAAATGAAGGGATACTGTGGTACATGGGAAGATAGAATCTAAATGTACAACAGAGATGGAGCATTGCTTCCAATGACCAATTGGAGGTACCGTATGAAACATGAGGAGGGGGGCAAAGCTGGACTGGAAGAATAAAAAGGAAAAGGAAGGAAAAAAGGAAAAAAGCCATCCTGCTCCTTCAAAGTTTCTTGTCACTATGGTAGAAAATCCCACAAATGATTAGAAACTTTGAACAAACAAAAACAATTGAAATGTCCAAAAATCCAGAAATTCTACCTGTGTATGTTTTTCTGGCCTGATCACCAGGTGAAAATAAAGAAAACAAAGGTTTAAAAAAAAATAAATGCAGCCACCGCATGTAAGTATTGGTAAGCTGCAATATAAAGCATTTTTGTTTTGGTTTTAATCTTTAAGGAACATGTACACAATGTTTTTCTGTAGCTTTTGTTAAACATTTTCTAAAAAGAAATTTTAAGAACTATTATTTGAAGATGCAGTACTATTGCAACATTTGAATCTACAGTTCTAAACACAAAAAAAAACACATACAGATTTATAGAAATTATTTAAAGAATTTTATAAAATATGCAGACTGAAAAAAAAATAAAGCAACAGAAAAGCAATAAACACATCATAGTAATATAAAGGGAAATTTTAAATACAACACAATTCCCTGAAGGCTGTTACAATGCATTTAGAAAGTGGTGACCTTGCACAGCCATTTCAGACAATCTCATTCAAAAACCTCAGCAGTTTTATATACCAGTTTGTAAATTCAAATGAACACACAGCTGTGCTTGCATGTAATTGCTGACTTTGTTTCTTATCTACATCCGAGGCAGTTGTAAAATATGAGTTTTTTTTTCAGCAGAACTCATCAAGGCATTTATTAACTTGCTGAATTTATTCCTGCATATTTAATTTATTTCGAGCACATTGAAGCATATTTAATACTTCAAGCCCATTTAAAAATTAAAGGTGATCTACACATAGGAACTTTAATTCTAGGCTATAAAAGAAAACATATGCTTAAAACCAATGCGCCAGAATAAAGTGTATGCGTATGGCATCACAAATTGTCCCTTATAAAAATAAATTGTGAAAGTGCCTTCTTGCTAGTCAGTGCCCTACTTCAATGCAGCCAAGTGGGTGGGACTATTGCAGAGGGTTTAAGCACATGACACTGGGAGGATAATTTCTATGCATCGAAAGTTGATGTGGAAGCAGCAATCTATACAACGCTATACCAGTATAAATAGTGGTTGCTCAAAATGAATACAAGTAGTGCTGTAGTAAATCTAAATAGAAATTCAGAAAAGAACCAGCCCTACAGTGATGTTCCTTTAACCTTTTTTTTTTTTATCATGAAAGGGTTTCAAGACCTTTGCAGAGTTCCTTCATTAAAAAAAATGTATATGAACCCTAAAAATGAATTCCCCTTACTGTATTTGGTCCATTTTGGTCTGTACAATACACAAATGAAAGTGTGTTTTTATATAAGTTAAAAAAATGCTTGTTGGCCCTGACAGAAACCTAGTCAGCTGATAACTTTCTGGGCTCCCTACGTGTGCTGCATTGTTATCAGTTACCTTGTTCTGAGTACTACAGGACCCCACCTATCTATGGTAAAGTGATTCTAAAAGTTCTTTTTTTTTTTAAAATAACAAACATGTCTATACTTACCTGCTCTGGGCAGTTGTTTTTACAAGAGCAGCCTGGATCCTCCTGTTCTCAGGTCCCCTGCAGGTTCTCCTGGCTCCTCCTTTCTGTCAGGTGCCCCCAAAGCAAGCAGTTTGCTATGGGGGTGCCCGCTGCTCTGTGTATCCATTCACAAATGGAGCTGAGGCCTGGCCCAGCCCCCTCTCTCTTCTCATTGGCTGACTGGCAGTGATTGACAGCAGCGGGAGCCAATGAGTAGGCAGAGACCTGTGACAGCCGAGGCTGTCATGCACATCGCTGGATCTCGATGGGGCTCTGGTAAGTATTGAGGGGGCTGGGGGCACTGCTGCACACAGAAGGTTTTTTACCTTCATGCACAGAATGCACAAAGGTAAAAACCCTTGAGCCTTTACAACAGCTTTAAGGACAAAAGGACAAGGGGGGGTTCCAAGTAGTCCTATCCCGTTTCTGTTGTCCTAATATAGTAGGGTAAGTATTGTCATACTAGGACAAAAGGTATGTTACTTGCAGAATTACTAGATCCAGTAGGACTCGGGGCATTGAGCACCTCAGGACGATCACGTGCAGGATGCTCATAGGCTTGTGCGGTGAATCGTTCTGCTCTTCGCAGGTCCACTCGATTGTGGCGGTAAAGACTGCCTTCTACATCCACAAGATATGATCGAGAAGCAACCCTCTGAATACAGGAACCCAGTTTCTAGCGACCGGTCCTGTCACCTGGAAGCGGCTTCATACGGATTAACTCTTCAATGCTTAGTTCAGGTAAGTCTTTAGCAGACACATCGTATGACAGTTTGGCAATCTGTTTCCTCTGCTGCAGTTTTGCCAGGACACCTGTAACCACACAAGGATCAAGTAATTTGTTGGCCACAGGCAATGAAGTCTTCAGTGTCCTAGACATCAAGCGCTGTGCAGGACTACTGTCCATGCCTT